TTAAGAAAATTAACTATTATTTTGAATTAATTTAGAAAATTCTTTTTCAATTTATAATTCTTTGGTTGTTGAAATAGAGATTTGTTTAAGTTAATCTAATTACATAATTTTTTTGAAATTTATAATTACGGAATTTGCCAATTATTCGCATAATCGAATATGTTATAAACATATATTTAGTATATAATAATACCAAAATCAACCCGTGCGTAGAGTCTATATTTTTATTTTAGAATCTCAATATTTCATTTTAAAATATTGCGTGCACAATCTATTATTCGTTAATTCTAAAATTGCTTGCGGGATCAAAATTTCAAATATTTAGAGGTGTCAAACCATATCTAAATGTTCTACACTATTTTTAAATATTCCAAATTAAAATCTTTAAATTTTTTTTATAGTTTATAAAATTATGAATTTCAAAAAACAAATTATATGAACTTAAATATCAAAACTCATTTCATCATATAATATATTATATTTAACCCGCTACCTATTATAAATATTTTTAAAAATAATCAAATTAGAGTATTTATAATTTTTTTAACTTTTTGAACTATCAAGTATTGATGATATTCTCTAAAAATATCAAGTAAAACTTATTTTAAATGTTGCAAATTAAAATATTTAAATTTTTATTGTAGTATATAAAATATACATTTCAAAAAAATAAATGTATGAAATCGAATATAAATATTCAAATTCTGACCCGTTGCTCAGTCGGAATTTTTGTTGACTTTATTTTTGTGTAAAAGAAATATATTACTCAAATCTAAATTTTTGACCCGTTTAATTGTTTCCTTTATAGATTAAACAATTTATATGCGTTTTTAAAAATTCAAAGCTTGGCATATGCAGAAAAAAAATTACTTTTTTTATTATGTAGATGATATCATGATTTATTTGTTTATATTAATATAATCATATAAAGATGAGAGGTGAAGTTTAATGATTAATAACAAATTAATATGGTAAGTTAGATATCAAATCTTATATGTTCATTTTGATTGGTCATTTAAAAAAAAAAATATAGATTTTCGTTTTATAATTTAATTAAATTAATTAAATGACATAAATTAGTATTTTACTTGTTTATCCTTAATAAATTAAATGAAATTTGTTCTTAAAAAAGATTTTTGTAATGGCATTCTTAAGTAAATTCTTACAAAAGGGAAGGTTAGTTAAGGGTATCTTAAAAAGTGTACTCCCCAAATAATAGTATAGGATGTCAGATATCGTAGAGACAAAGGATAAATCATTTTGTGGTATTGATAATTTTTTTTTTTTTTTGTCATCCGCAATTAGTTAGAACTCAAAAAAATCATTTCTGAGAAATGTTGTTTATACCAATTAGGGAAATGATCAAAAGTCTTTCTCTTTTTCGGCTCTCTCGACGAAAACCCTAGCCTCCAGCCGCCCAAGCTTCGATTTTTCCGATTTGCCCTCCCCGGCGGCCGGGCTTCTCGCCGGAGCTGTGGGAGGGTCTTAGATCTTTGTCTTGCTTCTTAGTTTTGATTTTAGCTAGCTTTCTCCGGTGATTCAAAGGTAAATGCGAAGGTGGATGTTTGGTTGGTGAAGAATCGGTGGATGGTTGGCGGCGGAGGTTTCGTGGCCTCCTTTCTCGTGTTCTTTCCTTCATCTCCCGCGTTTTCTTTGGATTTCTTGGCTTAGATCTGTTGATTTTGGTGTTGTTATGGCCTTGTCGTCATATTCCTCTTTGCAGAGAAGAACGTTTGAAGGAGGAGAAGCCATCGTCGGTGAGGCTTGGTTGTGGTTAGTGACTGATCCGTCTGGTCTGCGGGTTTGTCAAGGTAGTGGCTCAGATCTGGTGGTGGTCCTGTGGCTGGTGGTTTCAAGGAGACGGACTCATTTCGTTTCTTGGTCTGGTAATTTATATCTCTCATCTCTCTCTTCTTTGGTTGGTGTTTCTCGACAAGGATTTGTTAGTGTTGGTGTTTGTGTGGCTTTAACCGATGGTTTTAGTTTGCTTTGAGAAGTATGCGGGTTGAGTTGGTCCTTAGTACATCTGCTTTGTTGGGTCTGCTGGATTGGTCGTGTTTGCTTGGCATGCTAGGTTTCGTTCCAATTGCTGGTCAATCGGATGGTAGTTTGTTGCTCGTCATCTACTAGCCTTCTTTTGTGGCTCTTTTGAGTTGTGGATTTAGGTTCTAGGCAAGCAGTGTATTCGACTTTCATCTTTTCTCTTGCGAGGAGGTTACCAGTTTTATCTCTGTAGATGGCTGAAGCTGGGTCGACGAGGGTCCGTGTGTAAGAGATGTGTGTCTTCCTTGGCTTGTCTCTGGTCGAATCTCAAGGTTTTTACCTTGTGCTTAGTGTTTGCTCGCTTTCCTCGGCTGGTCTTTGTGTGTCCTGATAATGGTGGCTTCTGTTTCTATGTTATCGTTTGGGTCCTGCTTTCGCTCCTGCCGGTGTTGGTGATGGTTTGTCTGCGGTGGGCTATCTAAGTATATAGCCCTTCCGGTCTGTTGGGTTCTTTCCGGCGTTTACATGTTCTATGGGAAGCTTTGTGGGTTTCACTCCGTTTCAGTGGGCAGTATTTGTGCTTTGGGTTTTGCTCGCTTCTCGGTGAATTGTCTCCTTAGGTTTTTGTCTTTTCTTTATCATGTTGTTTAATCTTTGTATCTGGAGGTTCGCTACCTGCCAGCTTAGGTTTCCCTTTTTTGGGTTTGGTTTCCCTTTTTTGGGCTTTAGCTTTCGGAGATTTCTTCTTTTTCTTCCGGCATTAGCTTTTTATCAAGTTTGTGTTATGTTGTATTGAAAAACTCTTTATCATTCTAATATATAATTCCCAGACGGAAAAAAAAAAAAAAAAAAATGTTGTTTATATATGTGATGTGATGCGGTTCGTACGAACTTTTCATGCCAAATTATCCGCTTTTACATTTGCACAACGAGAGATTAAAGATAATGAGAAGGATGAGAATTCTTCCTTGTCGCTCTGAAATTCTCCCAAATACACTGAAAATGCCGGCCATTCGGTTGGAGAAGACACCATCTTCACCCGGTCTGAACCGTCTGTATAGAAAGCTACTTCTTGATTGTCTGCACCAATCATACACATCATCGCCTAGAGAAGGGCTTCGACTTCTGTATGTAGTGGAGATAAACTTCTATGGAGGTTGGCAGCTCCCATGGTTAACGTCTCTCCATTTGTTGATGTACAGAACTACCATGTTCCGGAGAACTTATCGCTTCTTTTCCTTGATCCGTCCACAAAGCAACGGTATCCAAAATAATTAGAAGCAAGTGAATCTCCCATCACTCGAGATCGAGTATCCAAATTTAAAGAAACCTGATTTTATGGTATTTATGATCGAAAACAATAAACTAACAATTTCAATATTAACCCTGGCTCTCTCGCTCTTGTATGAATACGGTGCTCTTTTTCTTAAGAAAATGGAAATCACTACAATATTAACCCTAGCTTCAATTTGTAATCATCTACATTATAGGTTTTCTCCTACTTACTCCCAATCAAAAGGTAATAATACTCTGTTTTTTGATCACATTTAAAACCAAGAATCATATTTCTTTCTTTCTAAATTATTGTTTAAATGTCATTCGTAGATGTAATAGAGAATGTAATCAACATGGACTATGTGTCTACAAAGGACCGTGTTATACCTGCATATATTGTAAGAATGAGAGTCGACTAACGTAACTATTAGGAATGTGACCTAAATTAACCCAAAAACTAGCTCAAGAGTTAAGGATTGTCACATCCTTTATATACTACCCAAAGATCTTAATCTCAACCAATGTTGGATATTCTAATAGTAACTGACTTCCCACTTGAGACAATTGGCTTCTGCCAAATCAGTCCTAGAGGTTATGGCAACATTAATTTGTTGTTGTGCGAACGATTAGTTTTCCGGCAAACTGAAAACAACATGTAATTTAATTTGAATTACTTCTAAACAACTAAATAATTGTATTAGCTATTAAGGAAAATAGATTAAGATTTTGGATTAAAAAATCATATATTTGTAGACAGTATGATACAGGAAAATGAGAGTGTGAAATGGTAGCAGTGGCACGTGTGCAATTGATGAGCTGGCAGAAGACACGTGTGAAGTTTGTTACGCAACAATAAAAGAGCAATGTTGCTCCTTCTTTCTTTTTATCGAAAATCATTTGTAAAACTTGGAGATTCTGAAACTTGTATTATTGCTAGGTTTCTCTCTTTGAGAGACTAGCCAATCGTTTGGTGTTTTCTATGAACATCTACTCGATTTTATCCCGGATTGTGTTACTTGATCGTTGATTTGTGTTGTTCATTGTGTGATTTGTGGTTTTTCTGTAACACAGTATATGGAACTATCGATACCTAAACTTAATCTACAAAATTTAATTAATATTTATAATCTTCCAACTATCTAAACCTAAAAGTAATTATTTTCATATTTGATTAGTGAACATGTAGATGAACGCATGTAGTATTGTAACTTGCAATACATATTAGTTCAGCTAACGCCATAAGCCTAGGCTAGCTGCATCCGAAAATCAAGCAACACTTGGATGAGGGTTGTAATTCGCGATATGTCCGAGTAACCTTGTTTGAGGGTTCAGCCACATTGTTGTTATTCGAGCATTGATCCTAATGAGGTCTCTCCATTTATTGTATACGTATATATTAAAATTTATTGTTAATATTAGTCCCTCTTTCTTTGAATAATTTGGTAATATCGGTCAATCTGTTATTTGTTGTTTCTAATAAATTTTTTTTTTGGTAAGTTGTTGTTTCTAATAAATTTTATGTCTATATTTAGGTCAAACGTTTTCTTGAATTTTTAAAATCTAGGCGTTTTTTCTTTTTCTTTTTTTTGTTAAAGAAATCTAGGCGTTGAAATAAACTATGTTCAATCTTCCATTTATTATTATTTTCCGTCCATTAATCTTCCGTTTATTAACGTGTGTGTGTATATATATATTTTGTAATATAGTATATATATCCTTAACATCCATATTTTAATTACATTAAACTTGAAGGACAAAATTATAAATTAGAGATAGAAGCCGAAAGGTCCAAAGACTACTACTACTTCACTTCGGCATATCTCTTTTCTCAAAAATGGCTTCCTCTTCAACATTATCAAAAAAACAAAAAATGGCTTCCTCTTCTGTGCCTTCACTGATGAAAGACGAAGAGCCGAGAAACTGGGCGGAGCTTCCATCGGAGTTGACGTTTTCGATACTGAATCGGCTTGGTGCGATTGATATTCTTGAAAACGCTCAGAAAGTGTGCACATCGTGGCGTCGTGTGACTAAAGACCCCTTGATGTGGCGGAAGATTGACATGCACTACCTCGGAGACATGCGAAGCATGATATATGACTTCGAGAGCATGTGTCGTCAAGCAGTTGATCGTAGTCAAGGTGGTTTGGTTGAGATTGATATTTGGCACTTTGGTACTGATGATCTCCTCAATTACATCGCTGATAGGTTCTGTCTCTTCGTCTCTCTCTTTCTCTGTGACTCAAAAGCACGTTAAAATATTTAATATTGTTAGCTTATGATTGTTTGTGAAGGATTTTGTGACACTCTTGATATCTAGATTTGTCTTGTTTCTTTCCTTATATTGATTCGCCGATGAATGCACTTTGGACATTGAGTTACTTGTGAACATGTACGCAATGCAAGTTAGAAATAAATTTTGTTAATGAAGCGTACTCTATAAGATTGAATTGAATGTGCATGTTTTGAGACTGTTATTGTTTAGCTTTTATTTCATTCTGGACTAGAAAAATGTACATGTTTCAGGATTGTTGTGCTTCTGAACTCTAGATGTTTGGCTATAGGTTTTTCCCGGGTGCTATAAAAATAGATCTTTTAGACAATGATTATTGGTAGGCTCTTAAGACACCTCTTAACGTAAGAGATATGTCTTACAACCAACAAAACACTACAGGAAAATTGAGTATTCTTAGCGGCCAAATAACGCTATCTAACGAAACGATAGCGAAGTAGAAAACGCTATATCTTCGCTCATGATAATAGGTCAACGGCTTTCGATAGCAGTTTTTTTGTATTGCTATATTTTATTTATATATTATAGCGTTTTCTTTTATGCAATGTAATAGTTTTTAATAGCAAGTATATTTTGTTATTAATTATCAAATTACAGCATTTATTATATGCAATTTAATCAATTAGAATAGCATTTATAATATGCAATTTTATTCCACTAAAATAGCATTTGTATTATACATTATTTCGATTTATCAATTTTTAATTATATTTAATTTTAATTTATTAGGTTTTTTGGATAAATTGACATATTCAAATTTCAAAATTTTATTATATTATATGAAATCATAATACAAATAGTATATTACAAAGTATAAATAGACTTTGATTCAAGTTTACAAAGTACATCAGCAAACGAAAGTACATCTCAGTGCCTGCAGCAAACGAAAAAATTAAATATACTGTCTTCTTACTTGAAACATGAAGGAAGACTTGGCCCATGGCAAACAAAGGCCATCGCGATGTATACAACCAATGCAAGTACAAGTATCAGAGCAATCCTGCAGAAAAACAAGCCTCATAAGCAGAGAGAACCAACAACAAAAACTCCACGAAGAATGTAAGATAATAAAATCTATTTTCAAACATATAAAGTGATCAATATCCACAAGAAAACATGTAATGGGATTGGAGCAAGAAACTGCTGATTTTTGTCTCGTCAAGTTTATCAGGTATATAGGTTTCTTTGGAAGGATTTTTAGTTGAGAAAACTTACGTAAGCTTGACATTCCTCCACCACATAATGGTTCTGTAACGGCGAGCTTGCTTTCTGAAACGAAAAGTGTTGCCTTGCATATTTTCGGTTTTATCAACCAGCAACTCCAAACGCTCCCCTCTATCCAAGACTTTATCAATATTCTCAATCATCACATTTCGAACCTGAGAACAAAATCAAGCATGATAATTAATCATGAAGCTACATATTGCATAAAGTGTCGACCGTCGAGCAAATTATTATCCCCGTGTATGTAACATATACTTTAGACCGCAAAAAAGAGATGATTTTGTAACATTACCTGAGTCATTTCACCTTTAATTATGCTCATCATGTCTGCATTAGGATCATTGGAATAGTATTCCATCTGCTGACTCACAACTCTTGAAAATTCATCATTCATGGAATAAGCTTGAGCTGAATGAATCGCACGGCCATACGTTCTCACAAACCTCTGATGAATATCATCCAAAAACGCAAAAGGAATATTCCCTGCAGCAACATAAGAAGATATCAGAAACTATAACAAAAAACAAGAAGCAAGTCATACGTGACATAATCCTAACATCACCAAAATGCTTCCCAGAAAATATCATCAACATCTTTCTAATCCAAATAACAGAGTTCTACCTTCCAAATCCCCAAAATTGAGATAAGATCTCAGCAGAAATAGAAGAAACTCAAAAACAAGAGCCAAATCATGTAAAATTGATGAAATTAGCGAGAGAAGCTGCTTACTTCCGGCGGTTTCATCGGCCATACAGAAAACGGTAAGACCATCGGTTCATTTTACATGGAAGATGTACCGATCCTGAGAGTAAGACATATGGCTATCGTTATCGTTTCCAGGCAACTTCTCCAAAATCTGCTTCGCAATTGAGCTAGCGTTAGTCGAAGTAGCGCTAAACTCCGATAACACCACCGTTCCACGAGCCACCAACGCAAATATGATCGCCATCTACTCCGGCACCTCTTTCCACCAGCTCACTTCTCTCTGTAAATCGCCGATTTGAGATTCCAGAAAACCTCAGATCTTGAGAACAACGACGACCAAAAATCGATCATTGATTCGATTAGAGTGTAAAATCGGAGAATTGTTCAACGCCGACTTGTAATCAAAGCAGCATCACCACCATACATCTGAAATTGAATTATTGCAATGATTTTTGAGAAACCCTACATTGAATTTGAGAAGCCCGACGAAGACGACGAGGACGAAGGAGATCCCTCGCAAGCTTCAGAGAATCAACGAAACATCTCTGGCCACGTCTTCTTCAATTACTTCGGTTCGGTGTTAGAGAATGAGTGGCGACGAGATATGAAAATCAGGTGTTAGAGATTGAGATTAAGAGGTAAATCTAGGGTTTTATCCAGCTTTTTGGGAACGAAATAAACAACACAGGCTTGAATGCCATTCTTGACGGTTGTCCGCACGTGGAACATCTTGATTTACGCAAGTGTTTCAACATCAACCTTGTGGAGGATCTCGAGAAGCGATGTTCTGAGAGGATCAGAGTTTTGCGACGCCCCTATGACTCAACTGCTGATTTCCTATTTGATAACATCTGGTTTCTTGAATGCTATTCTGATTCTGATTCTGATTCTGATGAAGCCGACGAGGATGACGACTATGATGACGACAGTTCAAGTTCAATGGCGTGAGGTTCATGTCTTCTATTCTCTGTATTCTTAGTTTTTTGTGTCCTTATTTCTTTTGAATTTTAAGAAGTTTTGAACGTGTAACAATACAATGAGTTTTTTTTTATAAAAAAAAAATGGGTATCTTTTTTTTTTTTTTTTTTGTCACTGAGTATTATTGATATATGAAACATTACAAAAAGACAGTCTCATCATTGCTTACAATGAAGCCCAAACAGAAACAAAAGGCCCAATAAGAAACCAGCTCCATGACGCATCAAACGATATGGATGAGCAGAGGATACGTGTTGCTTTCTTAATTATCGAATTTTAAATATATTTATTTTAATAAGCACAGTGAAATGAGAAATGGCTCTTCTTACATTTTAGTTATCAAAAACAAATGTGCTATATGTATAATTTTAGGGATTATGCATAAAAAGACCATAAATCTTCATTTGCAATTACGCTTATATATAGATATAAGCATTTTATATATTACAAGTTATTTTTTAAAATTACACAAAACATTCAGATGATTCCATGACGAAAAACTTCCGACGAGTGCGCAAACACATCAGAACAAAGCATCACTCATCCCTCTTTCCTCCACCACCACAACCACCACATCCTCCACTACCACAAGCACTGAATATTTCCGATATAAGCTCACCATCCTTCTTTGTCTGTCCCAAATCCCAGTTTTTTCTCCATCGTTGGGAATCTTCCTATTTTCTTTCCATTGTTAATACTAGTTCTTTTATAAAATACATTATTATTTCCAAATGACATGGTATTTACTTCAATATAAGATATTATTTTTATATGTTAAACGCTATTCAGTTCAATTTTATCCATTAACATGCTTTTTTGTAAAACACATGATGTTTTTACAAATAACATGTTATTAAATTTAATATAACATATTAAATGCTATTTTAAATATAACATATTAAATTTAAATATTACATGCTATTTTTCAAAATCTCACAAAATTATCTTCTTTCCGTCTTCGTCATAGAATATTTCTCTCATTCTATCCAGCTCCAACACAAAATAATGTTAATTTTGTCAATTCCATCATTCTGAAACATGGATCTATAGTCATTTTTTAATAAAAAAAATTCATGACTACTTACTTAATTTTCCTCAAAACTTCTACTTTCTAATATTACCCATATTTGTAGTTAGGCTCTGGATACATTTTAGGTTGGTCTGTGTGAAACGAACATGATGTATGTTTACATTTTGTGTTGGGTTCAGATAAAAGCTAATGGGTTAGGCTTAAGGAATGTTCTCATATGGTCCAGGCCCTTAAAGAATCAGCGAATTCAAAGGGAAAAGACAACAAAAAAGTTAACAATGGAAGGCCAGCAAAAATTTGGCAACTAGACTTTGTGTCTTGTGTTTACAAACTCACGTACAAATTGTTAACTAAATATTATTGGTTTTTAGTTGAAGGTGAAATTTTAAAAAGTTTTTCATTTCCAATATCAATTTTCAAAAATGTTTTTTCTCTAAAACTTTAACAAAATATCTTTAAAAATCTGAAATATATCCAAATACGTGTATAACCTTATAAAAGTATACATAACTTATTTCTATACGTGTGTACAACATTGTAAATATCTAATACCTTATAAATATTTTATAAACTTTTGTATGGCCTTATAAATATATTTTTAAATTTTATAAATACTTTGTAAACCCTTATAAAATAGCTTATAAATACTAACGAATCTCCGATTAGTAGTTACCATCCAGAAGTGTTTTTTTATATAGGAATGTGAATATCATATAAAATGAAAGTTTTAGGTTTTACAAAAGTGCTTAACCTAGAGGATTGTAATCTTGCCAAAAAAAGAATAAAGTAAAAGGATTACAAAGTTTATTGAGTGTCAATCAACACGATTATCTAATCCAAAGCGCCATCAAGTTCCTGAATTGCCTCTGGTTCTTTCTGGCCGTGATGGTATTACGCAGTTCCTTCTCAATATCTTTGCAAACTGCAGCTGGTGTGGCAGAGACCAGGTTATGAATAATATTATTCCTTAGCTTCTAGAGGTGGTACATAGCTGCTTGGCACGCAAGCTTCCGAAGAATTGGTGGGGAATAGACTTTTTTCATCATTGTCTAGGCAATAAGCGCCGATGACCAAGTATTAAAACCACAAGGGGATAAGTGAAGGTGTGATTGAATCAACGTCCAAACCTGCTCGCTGAAAGGGCATATAAGCGATGACCAAGTTAGAAATGCTTTATAAACCTTATATTTAATAAGGGATATTTTTTAAAACTTATAAAAGTATTCACAAAAGGGTATTTCTAAAAGAATCTCTAGTAATGCAACATATGTAGTTCAATGCATTTAGTAATTACTATTGAATGGCAAGATCTAGTGTAACTTAAATTGTGTGTCTTGCCAAAAGCAGCTTTATTTTACGGTTGTTTTCTAGTGCGTAATACTTATTTAGAAATTTCGTACAAGAATGCTATATACAAAGAAAAAAACAAAATTTACTTGTATTACTTCTACAAACAATTAAAGAAATAAACAACTAGTTAATTGATTATAGTAGATGTTACATATAATAAATCTACCCTGATTTTTCATTAATTCCATGGGCAGTTGATTTTATCATTTCTATTTCCTATCATTTGAATTAACATTTTTCTACTCGTTTGAACTTTAGTGGGTTTCTGTTTGTATTTTCAAAATGCTAATAAAACTAACCCAAGTTGATATTCTTAGCTAAAGTTGCAAAAGATTCTTTTCATATTGGTTAAGAGAATATATCAAATAGATTCTTTCTTTATATATATATATATACTGATCCCGATTTGATTGCTCCATTATAATCATGTTGCTGAATATCCTTCGATTATGTCCCAAATTGTTTTGTCGAAAATATGAATGGTTTTGTTGGGGGTGCGAAAACACATTTACGGCCATGATTGTTCCTCTCTCTCTCTCTCTCTCACTCTCTTCAAGTGTGGCATGTACCCAATCCAATCAAAATAATTCTGAAACCAATAAGAATATATATATATATATATATATATATATATATATATATATATATATATATATATATATATATAACTAAGTTAATTTTAAACCGACATTCAATTTAATTTCGCGGTGTATAAAATGTAGAAACTAGAAAGACATATTTTATTATTTAAAACGTATATAGTGGGAAACTATTGGGATCAATAGTGGACATCTCGAGACGTATATATTGCCAGCTTAGATAAAAAAATTTTGATTTTTACATCAATGTAGATTAGCATTTCCCAAAAAGTTAAAGATGAAATGTATATGCTACATTTTTAAACCTAAAGTCCACTTAGATCTTGCAAAATATGAGGGAGAGAGAGAGAGAGAGAAAAAAAAAAGCTGGCCCCTAAGATCTTGGAATCCTTTTGACATGCATGTGGTGATTAATGATGTTATCTAATCATTGAAGCAGTCAAGTGGCAAATGGCGTGGCCCATCTCCTGCTTCTTCAATGAGTAAATTAAATCTATTAAGATTTGTTCCCACAATAGATGTTTATTATGTGTTTCTATATTTCGTGATTTCATCAAATACCATAGATTCTTTTGCAAAACTCTTCTATAGGTTGAATCAAAAGGTAAAGTATATTCATGATCTCTCCTTTTCTTATTGGGATCTCATTTCTGATACAATATATCATGACGGTTGATGACTAAATTCAGAAAAATTTGGTGTCACCAACTTACGTGAATATGCTCAAATGTATGGTGAAAATTGTTAGCACGATCATGTTTTCTCTATCTCACACAAGCAACATGTTTCAAGATTCTAGAGATCAGTCGGACCAATGGTTGTTAAAGATTGTGTCTTTCTTACACGAAGGGGACGTGACATTGTGTTGGCAAAAAGTGAACATATATTGTAAGCAAGCGTGCCATGAAGAGTGCTTCTTATGTGTGTTCTCTTTTTTCACTCGTATGTATTAAAGCGCATGCATTTTCCTAAAGCAAATAAAGTGTCTCTCTTTTTCTTACACATGTTAACTTCTTCATGATACTGATCGGGTCCAAGATCTATCATACATCTAATATGCCGATCTTTGGTTTCTTATACATAGGGTGATAAGAATACGGTAAGTTTCGTAAAATTTATTAAAATGCACTTTTGGGATGAATGTGGCCTGGTTCTTAAGTGAGGGGTTTCTTCCCTTTTTAGTTAAATCTAAGTTATATATTTTGGAAGTAATCCTACCAACTATGTACGTCTACATTAAACTGTTAGGCAATTAGAAATAAAAAAGAAACGATGCATGATTAACTCATTGTGGTTTAGTAATTGAATGCTTCATTCTAAAAGTTGAGGGATTAGGGTTTGATTCTTTGCACTGTAATTTTAATCATGGTTCACGGTTGTGTATACTTTAAA